GGGACACCAGAGACTTATATTACATATTGTAAAAAAAGGGCATAACATGTCTCCTTTAAGATCAAATCTGTGCCTATGCGTGTTTTATAAATGAGGCCCCTGAACACTTGCTCCTTCAGACTCACTCTGTTGGTTGAGTCAGCTGTGCTGCCAGAGCAGTGTCCACTTTTAAGGAAATCAACCCACTAACTGCTTATTTATAATTAGCTCTACATATTTAGGATTGACATGAGAAGGTATTTTAACAAAACAAAACAAAAAAAGTTCACACTTCACCTTTAACAGGCTGTGTTTTAAAGCTTGTGTGTCCTTATGTCCTCACCTAAATTTTGAGTGGGCGTTTGTTTCCCCCTCAGATCTTGCCAAGGGCCAAAGTCTGGACAACATATCCATCACAAAACATGAAGATGATGACGATGATGTGCATGATTATGAATATATCGATGAAGATCAGCTTGACAGCATAAGGAGGACATAACATTAACATTAACACAGGCAAAGGAAAACCAGTATAAGTATACTATGAAGAGTATATTATGAAGTTCACTATGGCGGTGTTCCAAAACTGCTTACTTTAATTTCACATGATGAGACTGACATGGCCAAAGTCTGTTTATAATGACTGTAAGTCTGATGGAATGCAAATAATTTATTAGGTCCTTATTAGTCCTGTAGGAGAGCAGACATGACATGTCAGTCTTCACAGAAGTGAAGTGAAAAATTCCGATATTGTATAATAAATTCCATATAATATTATGAATATATTTTGAAAAATCACATAGAACCCATTCAGGCTGTAGATGAGAGATATTGCTCTTACTCACAAAGCGTCCAGTGCTGCCGCATGTCCGAGCGAATGCACGCCACTGTACAGATGCCAAAAGCTTCACTTAACGGCTGTTTACCGATGCATCCAAGGCTGTGTTGTTTTAACCTGCTGTCACTGGTGTGCAAGTCGAATAGTGTTACTGTATTACAACTGTCCTAGATATAGTGTAATTATACATTTAAGTACTAAGGAATATTAATTAACTATATGTACTTACTATATGGTTTGAGTTGGGATTAGGGTTACTTGCATGTAAATATGCATAATTGTTATTATAGCAGTAAGTACATGTAACAAGGACACCTTAAAATAAAGTGTTATCCACCACCCTGTCAACATGGCTTATGACAGGAATTAAAATTGAATTCAAAATTTATTGGCATTGGACAAAAATGCAACAATGACAACAAAGATTTTTAGAAATTGTTTTTCTGTTGCTAAGCCTCTGCAGTCAAGCATTTATAGGTTTCCTGCATAAAGCCCTTGTTTCTCTCCAGGATGCGGCTATATTTGGTGAGGATGGCTTGTGGATCATGCACTCTCCAAAAAATGTCCAAAAAGCTATCACTGGGTTTTATGCCATATTTATTTAATGGCTCGTTTTAGTACCCAAGGTGTAGATATTAGTACCTTTTAAAAGGGTACTGCCACAGTGACAGCTGCTTTCAAGTAATGATGCCAGAGGAATCAATCTTTTTTGTTAACTTAAGTATATATAAAGGCAGTTTTTTGTACAGTCTGGCTATATATAGAATTGAAAGTGGGTGTATTTTTTATATTATTTTGTGGAGAAGGAAACATCTTTTTTTTCTGCATTTTGTCTGGTTTACTTTGAATAAATGAGATGGAAAGTATCCATGTTTGATTTGTTCTTCTGTTTTTATTTTGTTTGGATAAGATACAAATTATATATGTTTACACTGGCTGTCATGATAATGCATCCGGGATGCAGCAGTGTTGTGGACACAGCAAACATCTGCAGATCAGTAAGGTGTTCACTGTAAACAGCTCTTATTTACTAGAAACAGGTTTATTCTACCCAGTTTTTATATTTATTAGAGATTGTTAACAGTTGGTGGTCATCTCGGTCAGGATTACCATCAGACTGGTACCAGGGAACTTG